GACACCCTCCTCCAACGACCAGACCCGACAGCGCGTACAGACACAACCCCGCATCCCGGCAGGGCTCCCCGCAGAGCAGGAGTCACCTGCCCCACACCCCGTCTGCCGGCCGCCAGAGCCCCCCCCAGCCGCAGACCCCACAGCAGGTACAGACAACCCCGCATCCGTACAGGGCTCCCCGCAGTGGCCAACATCAGGTGAGCCATCCCATTTGCCTATTCCCACCTTCTGACACCAGCTCTGCCCCCCATGAGCAGAGCGGGCCCTGACCTGACCCCGGCAGTCCTGGCCTTCGCAACACCCGCTGGCTGAGACGAGCCCCCCCCAGCCGCAGACCCCACAGCAGGTACAGACAACCCCGCATCCGTACAGGGCTCCCCGCAGTGGCCAACATCAGGTGAGCCATCCCATTTGCCTATTCCCACCTTCTGACACCAGCTCTGCCCCCCATGAGCAGAGCGGGCCCTGACCTGACCCCGGCAGTCCTGGCCTTCGCAACACCCGCTGGCTGAGACTCACGCAAGCCGGCAGCACAGCAGGAGAAGCTTGTTTCTATGGGACCCCTAGTCCTTGCGTTACGAGAAGCAGACCTGATTCTCTGCCATAACCCCCTTCACCATCTTTCCCAAGCTGGCACGTCCGCCTCATCAGCCTCTCCTCACGCCCCCAGTGCCGCTGCCTTGCTGTACTTTTCCAACAGGCCTCGTGCGCTGGGGCAGCCCGCCGGCACACACCGCCACACGGCGCACCATGGCTCCACGGGGCAGTAGGGTGTCCTGTCTTACCCCCCAGCTACTCATTCCCAACAGGCCTCGTGCGCTGGGGCAGCCCGCCGGCACACACCGCCACACGGCGCACCATGGCTCCACGGGGCAGTAGGGTGTCCTGTCTTACCCCCCAGCTACTCATTCCCAACACTGATTGCTGGTCTGGCGCAGTGGCCAGGGAGTGGCTGTTCAGAGAACTCTCCACAGTGACACCAAGTGGCAGCTAGTCTCAGCCACCATTTCCCCACCCAGCAGGGGGGTGCTTTACTCCGCCGCTAGCACCGACCCGTCTGCTCCTGGGGCTCCCAGTCACCCCGCTATGCGAGGGCCGTCTGCAGCTCTTCAATCTGCTGGGACCCACTGAGCAGTTTTGGAGCATTTGCAAGTTTTGCCACCCCTCTGTTCACCCCTTTCTCCAGATCACGTGAGTGTCGCACAGCGCCGGCCCCAGGGACTCCCGGTTACCTCTCTCCAGCGGGCCTGCCCGGCACTGCTCACCTGATCTCCCCAGTGACTTCCAGAACGTGAACCCGGAGATCTGAGGCCACCAGGAGCGAAAGGAACTCCCCACAGCGCCCAAACTTCACCATGGCCACCTGGAAGAGCACAGAGTGGGCTAGGCACCGCCTGGCACTGGGCAGCAGGGAGCCACCCAGCTGGAGCTGCCGGCCCAGTCTGGTAGCCCTCACCTTGAGGAAGCACTGGAATTCCTCCACGTTCTCCTCCAGCACCTCCATGTCCAGGTAGAGCCGGAGGCGATGGTCCACAGAGCGGAAGTCCCATGCGGCCAGGGGGCCGTTTATGGCTGCAGAGAGCACACCAGGCAGGTGAGCGAGCCCTCTGCCAGGCCCCAGCGCTCGAGTCCTTGGCAGGTGCCCCCAGGGGAAGCCGGTCTGGTGGGTCCCATCCAGCCCAGGGCTCTTGGCCACAGCACCCCTCCAGCCTGCGGTCCCTGCCCACAGGGAAGCCTGTTCCTTCAGTAGGGCACATCCTCCCTCTGCAGGGGCGCACTCCCCGGGCTAAGCCCTTTTCACCCTGCCCTGGCGTTGGCACCACTGCTGGACTGACGGCCACCAGCCCCCTCAGAGCCAGCCCAAGTCGCTTTGCTACCCCAGCCGCCGGCGCCGGCCTGGCCTCCCTCACACGCGGCAGCCGCACTGTGGAGCGCTGCCGAAGGGTCCCCAAGGCAGAGGCCCTAGCCAGATTCAGAGAACTAGCCTGGCACGAGAGGCAGAGAACAGCTGCCGAGGCTGCAAGAGATGCAGAAGGAAGCTGGCCAGGAGCCTCACTCAGACGCGGGCCCCCAACGTGGGGTCCCAGGGCGTAGCCCCGGGCTGAGTGACTAGCAAGAGGTTAGTTCAGGCAAGCCAGTCTGGGCACACTGCCCTGAGCCTGCATCCCAGCTAAGGGTCGCGGAGCCCCCCAGGGCCCCTGTAGCACAGGGAGGGGGAGTCCGACATGGGGCTGTGCCACACGCAGGCTCCCCTCACAATCCCACAGCTGGGCCTGGCGCAGGCCGGGACTCCAGGCTTGGGAGGCCTGCTGCCACAGTAGGCACCCCGGAGATCACCATGGTGCACCCCCGCACCGGTACTACTGTGACGTGTGTGTATGTGTGTGTGTGGGGGGGGGCTGTCCACTCGGTGGCCCTGGGCCCACGCTGGCTGGGCAGTGCCCGGTTGCCGTGTTGGGCTGGGGGTGCCCCCTACTGGCCGGTTGCTGCTCTGCAGAGACTGTGTGCGCACCCAGCAGGGGGGTCCCTGAGGGGGGCACTTAGGCCATGCTTAGCAGCTTCTCCCCTGGCCAGGGGAAGGGGTTTGAACAAGGGGGGGCTGTCTGGGGGAGTGAGCGACCCGTGGCTGGGAGGGGGGCAGTCATGAAGAGAACAGACTAAGTCCAGTACAGGGGGTTCAGGGGCCTGCACCCCAAGGGGTCTAAGGCTGCCTGCCCCGATTCTTGTGTCCACATCGCGCCCGGGCCGGGCTGCATCTCTGAGAAGCAATAAACCCCCGTTCCACTGGCTGGTGAAGTCACATCTTGCTGTGGGTGGGGTGCAGGGTCGGGGTCCCCGACACCATCACAGCCACGCAAGCCACCCCCGCCCCACTGGGGGAGCCGGTTAGAGACCTCCCTCTGCCACCAGGAGAGGCTGCTGCCCCTCATGACCAACAAGCCAATGGGTGCAGCATTGGCCACCAGCCCCCGGGCAAGCCACCCCCTGGACTCAGTTTGCCATCTGCAGGATGGGGCCTGGGCTCTGCGAAGCATTAGCACCGAGATCCCCAGGCCCTGGAGGCATCAGCCTCGTCTGCAGCAAGGGCCCGTTCCCCTCGCGCTCGGTCCCGGTTCTCCTGCCAGTGAGCCGAAGGCCTGGGCTGCACACAAGACCATGCGCGTGACTCACGGGGACTGAGGTTCCAGGTCTCCTCAGGCTCCGAGCTGGGCGTGGGCCCCCGGGATGCGCCGTAGTGGTAGCTGCCCATCAGGCTCCCCGCGCTGGTGTCTGTCCGACTGAGGGACGAGTAACAGCTCTTCAGGCCTGGCTCCTTCTGCCTGCCGTCCCCGTCGGAGCTGGACTGGACAGTGCTGCCGTGGTCGCCGCTGAGCTCCTGGGCCCGGGGCTCTGTCTCTGAGCCATCGTCCTCCCCGCCAATGTAGAACTGCCCGCTCTGGCTGCCCAGGACGGACGCCGCCTCCAGACTCCCCGGCTCCGCAAGGCGCTCGGAGGGCAGCGGGGTGCTGGAGTGCCGCTCGCAGGGACGGACAACAACGTGGTCACTGGAGCAGCTGGGGCAGAGCA